ATGGTAGAAGTGATAGCTATTTCGGAAATCACCACATTTCCTCATCAGACTTCTTTCAGTAGGCTTCGAACCGACGATCCCACTGACTCAGCCAGTTGCCTATGCACCGTGCTAAGTACGCCTTGTAAAATATTGTTTGCTTTTTTCCAGTATTTTCATTTTTAACCGACTTCCAAAAAAGGAGGAGGTTATCAGTTCGTCGGAATATTTTTTTTTTTTGTTTTTTTTTTATGTATGTTCCTAAATCCTTTTTTGTTGAATATAATTGTTATAAGGCCAAAAAAATAACAAAAACAAATAACTTAAGGACGAGCACACCTAAAAGTTAAACATTCTAAAAATAGAATTAGCAAAAAACAATACCAACAACCACATGATCAAGTGAATTGCAGCGGAATAGCTGCACTTGATTGTGTTGGCATAACAAGAATGAAAATAGTGGAAAAAAGCAACCGATAATTTACAAGGCGTACTTAGCACGGTGCATAGGCAACTGGCGCAGTCAGTGGGATCGTCGGTTCGAAGCCTAATGAAAGAAGTCTGATGAGGAAATGTGGTGATTTCCGAAATAGCTATCACTTCTACCATTTTTTCAAATTATTGTTGCTTTTCCACAATAAATTTTCATTTAAAAACGGCCTCGAGCTCAATAAAAATTGTTGAATATAATTGTTATAAGGCCAAAAAAATAACAAAAACTAAAAACTAAAAATCAAAAATAAAAACTAAAAATTAAAAACCACACTGCCGTATAATTATGTTAAGTACTTTCAGAAAATCGAAGCCAGTGAGCGTGATTCGTGAGTGCAAAGTCATACTCCGAAGAATACAAAGTTCCGTTTGAAAAATTACCGGGGAGGAAGTAGATCCACTTCAAACAAAAATCGCGGCAACACTGCCTTTTCAGACGTTGGCTGCAGCTAAGGAGTTTGAAATAAATCTGCTGCAACAAGATTATATCGAGGCAAGGTGAGTAAAATGTGATCAATGTAACTACTTTTTATGTGAACTAATAACAAATTTGTGTATTTTTAGAAAACTTTTCTTTTACGGCTGTAGGGTCAAGACAGCACTGTTGACGATTTGTTCCGTCAGCTTTTCAACGACGATTTTCTATCCCTTTGCAACTGGGATGGCAGAGGTAACAAGCAGGCGCTGTCCCAGCTTTCTTGTGTGTCGGAAATTTTGTATGGTAAGTAATTTGAATATGCCTATATTTCCACTGATTCTTCAATTTCGTGTCTGTATATCCTTACCAGATGTTTTCCAGCTAAATGGACGGGCTGCTTACGAAAAAAACATTCGTAAGTCTGTTGACCTTAGTCAACAACCGATTTAAGCAGCGAAACTACCGGCAGAGAAACACCTCAAAGGTGGGAAATATAAATATAAGTAATACCTCAATATAAACAATAAGTATATACTTGTTGTAATAAGTAAATATATACATACATATGTATATCTATGGACACAGAAATGGCACAAAAATGTTAAGATAACTTACAGCCATGGTTTCTGAAAATATATTTTGTTAATTTTAGGAAAAACTTAAATGAATTCTATAACGAAAACCATGTAAAATAGTTTTAAAATAGTCTTCGAACGTTTTTGAAAATTCGAGAAAATTTTCGAAACGTTCATAAAAATTTCAAGATTTCAGAAAACTCAGAATTTTCAGAAAATTTTTGATTATGTAGTTTTGTAGCCCAATCAATTTTAGTCTTTCAAAGTGCAAACGTGAAGCCTCTCCAAATTCGCGTTGATTTTTGATATTTTTTTATGTGTTTGAGATTTTCTTCCATACAAAAATTAGATTTCGCAAAATTTATGTGGAAGAAAAAATAAAATACCTTTCAGAAAAAAAATTTAAAAAATCAACACAAATCTTGGGAGACTTTAGGTTTGCGCTTTGTTAGACAAAAATAAATCGGCCTACAAAACTGCATACCAAAAAATTTTCTGAAAATTCTGAGAAAAAACTTTAAAATTTTGATATTTTTTTTGTTTCTGTAATTTACTAATTTTTATTTTTTTTTAACTATTTCACATGGTTTTCGTTATAGAATTCAATTAAGTTTTTCCTAAAATTATCTAAAAATTTTTTTTTTATAAAACATGGTTGTAAATTGTTTCAAAATTTTTGTGCCATTTCTGTCTCCACGGGTGTATATAAATGCCAAAGTATGAATATTAACAGTAGGTATTTAACTATATAATGTATTGAAATTTCATATTATATTGAATTTAGCTTTAGAACTCTAACAAAGGCATTTTAAATGGTTATTGTTAGTGCTCCAACGCTACTATAGAATAAAAGTAAAAAAAATGTTGAAATAAGACAAAATTTGGTGTGCTGCAGTTGTTAAACGCCTAGTGTTAACATTTTCGTTTTTATATTCTTTTATATAAATAACAAAACAGTCAAAAATTTAAATTATTATTAACTAAAATAATCAACTTAGTTTGAACACAAATTTTTTTCGATTTTACATCTCTTCTTTCATACTAATAACATAATAATGTAAAATGTATGTAGGCTACTATTAACTTAGTTTTTGATTTCAATTGTTAACTTTTGGTTTCATTATATGCTGCTAAATAATTTTGGATATATGAATTTAATAAAGTTTTATTTATTTAAATATAAATTACATTTCGATTACGTTCCCGAATTCCGCTCCGCTGGAATCGAACTTAGGTATTCTGCTTTACGATCGAAACGAAAGAAGAAGAGGAAGACAGAAAACATCTTTCGAAATTAGCTGTTTGCCTAGGAATGTGTGAAATCGAAACAAAACAAAGAAATATTTGCCACCAAACTATAGCAGCATATGAAGTTAAAGTTTTTAAATATTTTAAAATAACTAAATATACCTATATAACTATATATCACTGTAATTTAAAAATAAAATTTAAGTGGATACATAATTATAAGAATGAAATCCATAGCCGCGGCGTTATTGCTTGAAGAGAAGAACGAGTCCCAGATTGCTGATGCGGAAGTTGAAAGGCGGAAATTTAGGGACATGTTTGATCTTTTTCAGATGAGTGAAGAGTCATAAGGAATTCATCTTGAACTGTATTACTCATCGCTTAAAGTCAGTGAAATTATAAACGTTGTTTGAGCAGTCCACCACATTTGCATTTACTACAGAGTGGAAGATTTGAACGCAAATGAATCCCATTATGAAAGCCGTCAGGAGGAGGGGAAGAACAAAGCTTATCTTTCCATAGCAAATCGAATTCGAGACACCTCTTTTTAAAAAGTTAGTAAAAACGAGTGCAATTACCGCTCGTGAAAACACAGAAATCGAGAAAATTCATTTATGATGACTTACAATCATGCACAGTATATTTCACTTAAATTTTTTATAAAATTTTATTATTTAAACCCACGAAAATAACAATTGAAACGTTCTCCGTCAACAAATTTGCAACTTAGAAAAACGGAACTACGATCGAAATGTAGAATAGGTATAATCGTAAATTTCGAAGATTGATCGAAAGGAAACGGAACGCAGAATACGATTCGAGTCGAAATGCAGAATAGGGCTGATAGTTTTCAATTAAAACTGAATGAACTTCACTTTCGATATTAAGTTCTTTTATATAATGTTGCATATAAAATATACTTTTATGGACATAACAAAACAACTTAATTGTTTATTTTTATTTATTAAAAATTATTTAATTTACAACATAAATTAAATACTTTATAATTTGCTTAACTAACTTGTATTAATAAAAAAAAATACATCAAAAAAAGAATAAAAAAAAATATGAAAGTTTTTTTTTTGGATTCGAACCCAGAACTTCAGGATGAGGGGCGAGCTGCTAGCCATTCGACTATTGCACCGGATATCCGGCGGCGCGCTAAATGCGGTTTTACTTGTCGCTACAATACCAAAGCCCTTAAAACCTATGAGTGTGACAAAGATGGATGTATATATACCCTGCAAACCATTTTTTCAGAGTATTCTGCATTGTAAAGAAATTTTAAAGAATTCGTTAAGATTTAGTTCGATTTTTTGCCGAATTTTCTAAAATTAAATAAATTACGCACACTTCCATTCTTTTACGAAATTTCGGAAGATAATCTGTGAAGCAACGAAAATAATGTTGCTATGTGAAGAATATCTTTCAGAATTTTTCCAGAATTTTCTTTATTTTTCGTACAGAAATTTCTTTACGAGTTCGTGTCAACCCCTTCATATAATTTTCTTTGAAAATTCGTAAAAAAATCGTTACAGAAATCAGATACTCCTAACGATTTCCTTAAGATTTCGGGAACTTTGGTTTGCAGGGTATTTATATTGGGCGAACGCATGGGTAAGAAGGTGATAGAAAGTCACACGTACACAAGACTTTTGGGACTATTTTCCCATCGCTCTTAACAAAGTGCTTGTAATGAATAGGGTTTGGTGACCATTTAAATGTCACGCGTGCCGGTAACGTTACTAAGTTAGGTGACCGGGACTCTTCTTGCTGGGGTAAAAGTTATACATGTGTGTGTAATGTGAAAGTTATACGTGTATTGGTAATGTAAAATGTATACCTGTGAGAGTACGAGTATGAAAGTTATAGTTGAGTGAAAGTAAAGGAGAATTTTGTCAAGCCAATGGTCGGGGGCACGATCGCCAGCCAACCTACCTCTAAAATAAAATGTTGGTTTGCTCCTGAAGGGAAAAGAAGTGCGTGCTAGTCACTATTTAAATTCTCGCCAAATGTAGGCAAAAATCAGTAATGGAGGACCGTTTATTAGCTGTCTAAGCCGTAAGGAGTCCTGTTAAGAAGGTAAGACAGTTAATTGTGCTGAAATGACTTGAAAAATATTCGTGATATAAAAGTCCGTTTAATGGTAAAGTATCAAGTGAAATTAAAACCTAAATTAAAATGGAACTAAATTAAAATAACGTTAAATTGAAGTAGAAGAAAATAAATTTAAATTAAAAAAAATCAAATTAAAAACATAATAAAATATTAGCATGTATTACAGATTAAAATGATAATAAATAAAAGAAAAATAAGTTTTATTCTTATTAAGTAAAGAAAAATTTAACTTGAACTATTCTAAGTGAAAAGTCAAAAGAACCTATTTATCTAAACACACAGAGCCATATAACATAAGGTAATACATGTAAGATATACATGCATGCACCAATACAGACATACTACAGTATGATGACCAACAAGAAAAAGTGCTTGAAAAATAATAAATTGAGTCATTTCAAATAAAAATTCAGTTTAATGAAACTCCACGAAGTCTAATTGGGTATGTACTCCGTAGGTTCACACAGGCATATCGCCAGAGCGGCAAAACCGAAGTTTTCGAGTTGGGTTCTTTACGCCAGCAACTGTTGGGCATACATATGTGCAAAAAGACCAGCTGATCTGGAAGCACATAAGAACCAACGTCAACGACCGCATGCACATAAGCGGAATACAACCGATTTTGAGGGAGCGTAGTAAAAAGAATCCAGAGAGGAAGAAGACACTGGAGAAGGGAGATCATACATACATACATAATTAATAAACCTTCCAAGCACAGGAATCAACGCGGGAAGCGCAGCGAGAGCTTCCAAGCGCCTCGATCCAGGCGCTCTGAAAGTGGATTGTGTCATTTTTCTTACTCCCATTACACTATCTTTTTTTTGCCTGCTATTTTAAATTACACTTTCTTCTGTCATTCTTCAATTAGTTTATTTTTTTGCTCTTTTTTATAATTATCACCGTTTGTTTCTTCGCACATGATCTGTTTATGTTAAATTTATTGCGAGAACTTTTCTTCAATTAGTTAATCCTTTTTTTTGAATTTGCCGCAGATGTTTAGTTATAAATATGTATATCTTTCTTTGCATGAATTCCTATATCTAAGTTTTCATTTTTCTCCATACCGTTTTTTGGTTAGTTTAGTAGCAGTTATTACGATTTTTTTTTCTTACCCCCATATATTGTTGAGTTTTCGATATTTTGTTGGTTAAGATGCGTATCCGCGAAGCTATTCCGTTGAATTGAATTATAGTTTTTTTTTATTTTAATCGAGAATCCATTTAAATTTAGATCTAAAGAATTTGTCCTCTAAAATGTGTCGTATCAAAGCGCGTGGTCCCAATGAGTTTGACACTTCGACATTTGTCATTGTAGACCCAAATATGCTCCCTCTATGATAAACACATACTCTCCCGTACTCGCTGGAAAGCTTGTACATACGTACGTACATATTTTTTGTTTTCAGCAACCTGTCTCCCGCATGCAGGCGCCTTCATCGTTGGAGAGACCGGTGAGTGCTAGAATTTAAGCGTATACATGTACTAACGTACATGCATATATAATTATATGCATTGACCTATATTCTTGGTTTCTTGTGAAATTTGTACATAGAGGTAGTACATGAACCAAAAAGACAAGATCACGACAGCAGAAGAGTGGCCCGTTATAATCGCACTTATGAAAAAAGTAGGGCGATTTTGACATAAGCCGTTTGTTTACATTTGTTCGTTGTTTACAATTTGGTGGTGGCTTTTTACTGCAATTTTCTTAATTTTCGCTTGTGACAACGTGTGCACACATAAGGTAAAGAATAATTTAACACAACGACATGATTTATAGGAGAA